CGTGGGTAAGAGGGATGCGCACACAGTCGGAGGAAAAGGGGATGCTGGACCAAGTAACCTGACCCCTTCCACCTTCTGGCGCCAAGCACGTGCGCGATCAGCTCCAGCGACTGGGTGGGGCGAGGCCAGCGGCGGCGGGCAGCCGAGCGGGCTTCCCTCGCACGCGGAACCCGGGCGCAGGACCGCGTGACTCCCCTCAGGAGGATCAGGGCACAAATGCGTGTGGAGCAGGACGGGATCTCCAGGCGGGCTCCTCTCTGCTAGTGAAGAACCCCACTTCCCCCACCCCCTTCCCCAGCCTTCGAAAGTGGACTACACGGCCCGGCCAAAGTCAGTAGGACGGGGTGGGGGTGGGGGGAACGCAAACACCCTCAAACCTCCTGGAGACTCGGAACGCCAGATGCGGGGCTCCAGGCATCTTCAGAGGGAGCGTCCCCGAAGGACGGGGGCAATGAGGGGACGGGCGAGATGCTGGCGGGGCGGCACTCACCATGGTGAGTCGGGGCGGTGGGTCTCACGCAGAGTCCGGGCGACGGGTCTCAGTGAGAAGTGCGCTAGCTGCAGTGCGGCACCCGCCTTATATACGGGGGCGGGGCCGCGCGCTCCGCTCGCCCACTAGGAGCTGGGAGGCCCGGCGGCCACGCCCAGCGGAGGGTGGGCGGCCCAGAGGGGTGGAGCCAGCGCGGGTTTCCTCCCCTACGTCGTGCTGGGGTCCCTCACCTGTCAGATGTGCGTTAAAAGTAGCAACTCGAGCTTTAGCCCCTCGCTCTGGGTCTGGGGCCGACCCTCGGGGCTCTCGGGCTCCGCTGCAGGCACGCAGGGTGCGGTGCCAGAGCGCGCCTTGCCCGCACCTGCGTCATGGGGGCGCGGGGCGCTCAGGTGTTCTGCCTTGGGCCGGGTGCAGTAGCAGCTGTTCTCAGGTGGCTGCAGCAGGCCTTCGCCGGTGCCCTCCCCGCCCTGCCTCCCTGGACGCTCCAACCGGCTGCCTGGCTCTGGCCGGTCCTCGAGGAACCCCTTTCGGCTGCACGCCGCCTGCTGGTCCCCGGCGAGGACGGCTGGCTTTCGCCGACGCCCTTGGGCGGCCGGGGACCGGGAGCTGCACAGCCTGAGCCCCAGGGTGCCGATCCCTTAGACCGCCCCGCCGAGCTGAGCCCCGCAGCCTGTCTGCGATGGCCCACCCGGAGAATCTGCCCCGGCTCGGCCGCTGCCCGCCAGAGTGGCCTCGTCGTCAGCGCCGTCACTATTAGAGAGCCCTTGCCACTACCACATGCCCGCTTTCCCGTGGTTTCCAGAACCACGCGAGCCCTTGCACCTGGATTCGCATCCTAACTGCCCTGTGTGATCTTGGGCAGGTGACTTAATGTCACTGAGCCCGTGGCTTCTTCATCGGTGAAAAAGAGAGGACTCCGCGCTGAAAGCATTGCTGTGAGGTATCAAAATGTTTGTTGACGCTGAAGAGGAAAAGAGAAAATGAAGATTCTGATATCGTGGCCGATTCTGACGTTCACATTCTCTTCTGTCCCTCAGCCACGGGCAGGACCTAAGACCTGAATCTTAACACCCTGGGCACTCAGGTGGAGGCCTCAGCAGAAGCTATTCCTTCTTCCTATGATTCCTTTCCACTTCTTGCAAGAATGAGCCTTTCAATCTACTTCTGTTTTCCCTACATGCCTCACATTTTCTAGCTGTCTCCCTTCACTGGGGAAATTCATCAGGAAGAGCCCCATGTACCCATTGGCACTCCCTTAAGAAACCTGTCTTTCTGCCTAGTCACTTGGAAAGGGTTCACTTGCCTTTCCCACCATAGTGTTTCCTAGGGCCAGGGCTGTCTGACAGCACAACACAGTAGGACAAAATACCTAGCATGGCAACTTTCTATCAACAAAATAGCTAATGGACGTGGAAAGGAATGCAGTGAAATATGACAAGGTCTCTCTTCCCAGTGGACTTGCCATCCTGTTGGGAGAACAAGACTCATTCATAAAACAGAAAACTGACAAGGGCGTAGAGGTTGCTTTGGGCAATGGGGTCATGGTCTCTACAGAGCAAGAACCATTTGTGATTACAGAACACAGGGCCTCTTGCAGACCTTCCCTGGCTCGCTTTCCCCCTTGGGCAACCCCACCCTAAATGTCTTTGACTTTCAAGTTCAGGTTCTTCCTTTGTAAAACTGGGATAACTTCAGATCGTGAGGGCCAGATGAATTTAGGAATGTGTATAGACATAGAAAAACACTATAAGCAGATATCTGGATTCTTAGAGCATTTTATTCATTTATATTAGTGTGTGTAGCACACCATGCTGCATTTATTTGTGTACATTTTCATCTCACTACATAGCAAACTTGTTGAAGGTAAGGGCTGTGTCTTATTCATCTTTGTGTCCCTAGTTCCTAGCATGGTGCTTAGCATATGGCAGGCATTTGCTGAGTGTACGTCAGATGAATTGTTTCACTTCAGAGATGGGACTAAAATTAGGGCAGAAGTCTAAGAAGCCAGAATTTACAAATTGGCCGCCTGGAGGCCAAATTCCCTTTCAGAAATATTCTGTTTGGTGCTCACAGTGTTAACCCCTGTCACATTTAGAATATGAAAAAATACAGGAATTATCTTTATGTTGGGGCATCTCCAAGACCACCCCTATATTAGGAGATTAACTAGGAGAACTCAAAGGACTCAGCATAAAATTGTACTCGCAACTAAGGTTTATTACAGCAATGTAGGAGGGACACACAGCTGGATCGTAAGGGGGAAAAAACAAGGTGAGTGTGGAATAATCTATGCTCTCTCCCTCCCATCAGGGCTCACAAAGTGTGTTCTCCCTCCAGAATGAAAATGGAGCAACATTTCCCTGCAGTGTTTCTGCCCAAGGAAGCCCATTAGAGACTCAGCACCCAAGGTTATTATTGGGTGTTGGTCACATAGGCACCTGTGCCTAGCACATACAAAAATTCCAGAACCTATGACTACATTCCCTTACATGGCAAAGGCTTTGCAGATGTGATTAAGGTAAAGATCTTGAGAGGTAGAGATAATTCTGGATTTTCTGGGTGAGCTCAATGCAATCACAAGGATTCTTGTAAGTAGAAGAGGGAGGCAGGAGGGTCAGAGTCAGGGAAGGAGAGGTCAGAAGCAAAGATCAAAGGGATGTGATCACTGGCTTTCAAAATGAAAGGGAGCCATGAGTCAAGGAATGTGAGCAACTTCTAGAAGATGGAAAAGGCAAGGAACGGATTCTCCTCTAGAGACTCTTGAAGAAGGCAACCCTGCCAACACCTTGAGTTTAGCCCCAAAAGGACATCTGGTCTAGCCCCAATTTTGGACATCTGGTCTCCAGATCTATAAGATAGTAAATTTGTATTGTTTTAAGCTATTAAGTTTGTAGCCATCTGTTACAGCAGCAACAGGAAACCAATATGGAAACAAGTGGAGCTGGGTAGTGGCTACCTTATGATAGTCAACGAGCTGCTCCATTTCACTCAATCCACACCATTTTGTGTTTCCCTGACACAGAAGACAAGTGCCTGTTGCCACTTAACATCATATGCTCAGCCTATATTACACTTTTATATTACCCTGGCCCCTGTAGCAAGGAGTTTATAACCCCTGAGCAGGACTTGTGGCAGAGAAAATGGAAAAGACAAGGGTGCAGGGAGAAATACTCAAGGCATGTTAGTGGAATGCAGATTCTGCCTCTGATTTTGTCTGTGCACACATGCACACATGTGCACACACATGTGACTGTGAGTGTATATATCCTCAGGATATATATAGATGCCTCTAAATTAGGGCCATAAGCTCTGGAGGTGGGTATGCAGGTAATGGTCCATATTACCAGATTGAAAACTTTTAGACATTCACATACACATATGGAATCTAGAAGGTGATTCCAGGCACTCCTTCACTCTTCCCATTGGATCACTGCTTAGTGCATCTACCCTGTGTGGGTGTCCGGCAAGCCACACTCTCTTTGGATCTCTATCCCTCTTTCCCTTGCCCATTATTTCCGTCCTTTCTAACCTCTTCCCAGAATCTCACGCCTCCATCTGGGAGCAGTGCAACAAGGTCCTCAAAGTTCCGAATGACTCCACTGACTCCCTCTGGGAGAGGTGGAGCTGAGCCTTAGTGCACACCCTTCTGGGTTTTTTGTTGTTGGTTTTTTTTCAGACTGGAGCATCTACCAGCTGTCCTCCTTCTCACAGCACAACCTTTCTAAAGGGATATCTCCATGTCTGCTCTCCTCCACACTCTCTCTGCACGCTTGGTTCCCATGCTCCAGTGAGATGCTCTTGCCAGGCTCTCTAGCGATCCCCATCTTGCCAAAGTTCACATCTCCCCCTTCGTCTTTCTGGGCCTCTCAGCTGTGTTTGACATAGCTGATCCTTCCTTCCTCCTTGAAACACTTCCTTTCTTGGCTTCAATGACACGTCCCTCTCCTGGTTTTTGTCCCGGCCACTTCTTCTTGGTGGTCTTTCATGGTTTCTTTCTAAAGGGAGTTCTCTAAAGGGAGTCTCTCTTTTCTTTGTTTTTGTCCCTGAAAAAGCAACTGTTGAAGGGGGATGATGAGTATATGGGGTTTTATTATATAATGCCTACTTTCAGTATACTTTTAAATGCAATTAATAAAAAGTTAAAACATGTCTAGGGTTATCCAAAAGGAACAGAGCTAGACTGTATACATTCCCAAACTATAGTGAAAGACTGGAATAAAAAGAAAGAAATATCACCTAGATGCTGATGACTCTCAAATGTGTATCTCCATTTTGGACCTCTTCTCTGAACTTCAAACTTATGTGCCTATTTGCCTTCTTGACATCACTACTTGAAAGCCCATTAGACATCTCAAACATAACACAGTCAAAGTAGAACTCTCTGTACTCTCACCCCACTTCCTACCAAGCCTGCTTCTGTCCTGGGCTTATGAGTCTGAGTGAGCAATATCACCTTCCACCCACATGCTTAAGTTAAAAACCTAGGGTCATCCTGCATTCCTTTCCCTCTCTCCTCCTCTTTTATTAGATTTTTTTTTTTTGGCTGCAACTAATGGAAAGCCTAACCAACAGCAGCTTAAACAGTGAGGGTGTTTATTACCCCACAAAAAATCTGAGTGTAGGGCGGTTCCAGGGTTGGTTCAGTGATGTCACCAGTAACTCCGGTATTTCCAGCTTTCTACTCTGGCATCCTCAATGAGCTGGTGGCATCTTCCCTCATGATCACGAGATGCCTGCTGCAGCTCAAGTACCATGTCTTCATTTGACACTGTCTTAAGGCAGGAAAAGAGGGTTTCCTCCCACATCTCTTTTTATCAGGGAGAAAAACCTTTCCTTAAAGCACCCTTGCAATTTCCCCTTATAGCTCACTAGCCCCATGCCTGGAAGGAGGGAATGGAATTGCCATGAATAGTTTAAACTGCTCTATTCTCACTTCTAGGTCTGGGGAAAGGTAATTTTCCTTGAGCAAGTGGAAAGGTGAGTAATTAAACAAATCAGGACCCTGCCAGCAAAGAAGTGGAGGCGGGGGCAGGGAAGGCTGTTGGGTAGGTCTGCT